ATATGTCTCATTCTTTCAATAAACATTTATTAAATGCCAACCACATTCAGGCCAGGCAATATGCTAGATGACATTCTTTTGGAAATCAGTCTGGTAAAAAATAGACATGGCCCAGAACAATAGAAAAAAAATCAGCCCACACCAAGATACATAATTGTGAACTCTCAACTTCATAAGGACAAGAAAAAAAAGAAAAGATCACACTTGTCTGACTGTATACAGGAGGAGGGAGATGAACAAAAGTCATTCAAATGATCAAAAATCAGAATGGCTCTAGCCTTTCCAAGAGCAACACTGGAAGCTAGAAGATAATGAAGCAATGCCTTCAAAATTCTGAAGGTAAAAAAAAAAGAAAAAGGAAAAGCTATACTTAACAAAATTCGCAATCAAATGTGAAGGCAGAATAAAGCCATCTTTTCAGACATGTCATATCTCAAAACAGATTATATCCCATGCAGCATTCTATCAAAACACAAGTAAAAGCTAGGATAAAGAAAACAGGGGAAACATCACAGGAAAGAGGCAAAGCATATCCCAGGATGATAGTGATGGGAGATACCAGGAACAGCTGTGTACAAAACAGAGCTTGACACCCATCCAGATTAAACTTAAGAGACACAAATTTTTTTTTCTTTGAGACAGTCTTGCTCTGTCACCCAAGCTGGAGTGCAGTGGCACGATATTGGCTCACTGCAACCTCCGCCTCCCAGGTTCAAGCAATTATCTGCCTCAGCCTTCCGAGTAGGTGAGATTATAGGCACCCACCACCATGCCTGGCTAATTTTTTGTGTTTTTAGTAGAGACAGGGTTTCACCATCTTGACCAGGCCGGTCTTGAACAACTCCTGACTTCATGATCCCCTCCCCGCCTCAGCCTCCCAAAGTGCTGGGATTACAGGTATGAGCCACCAGACCTGGCCTTTTTTTTTTTTTTTTTTTTTTTTTTTTGGGAGACGAAGTCTCGTTTTGCTGCCCAGGCTGGAGTGCAATGGGGCAATCTCAGCTCACTGTAACCTCTGCCTCCTGGGTTCAAGCAATTCTTGTGTCTTAGCCTCCCAAGTAGCTAGGATTACATGCATGTGCCACCATGCCTGGCTAATTTTTGTATTTGTAGTAGAGATGAGGTTTCACCATGTTGGCCAGGCTGGTCACGAACTTCCAACCTCAGGTGATCCACCCAGCTCAGTCTCTCAAAGTGCTGGGATTATAGGCATGAGCCACTGCACCCAGCCAAGAGACAGCATATTAAGGAAGGCCTGCCATCACTAAGGTGCTTTTGTTACTGTATTGATCCTTTAACCTGACAGGAAATCCTAAGGTAAATCTTCCCCAGATTCATTTTTGTACAAGATTTACCAGGGCCATGAGTTAATGAAGGTCCTACTTTCCCTTACATGTTTTGCTTCTTAGATCAGCTAAAGACTCTCATTTTAATCCAAAAAACCACTCTGTTTTAACCTACTTCTGGGCTGGAGGTTGACCGTGATTAACTTAGAAGCACAAAATATAGAGTAGCCCATTCCCTTTGATGGTGTTCCCACTGGATACCCTCTAAGAACCTAGTCCATACAGGCCTGCAGATGCCCTGACTATGATAAGGCCTATTTTTCCCAGGATTCACTTGCAGTCTTGAGTCCCCAGTAGGAGCTCTTATAAACTATCAGGGAAGTTGAGACCAGATTATGATTCAGAGGTACCAACTTTTCTTTTCCAAAAATACTTACAGGGGACAATAATGCCCTTTTCTTACACAGCCAGGTTTGTACTTTGTTATTAAGCTCTTATATTAAGCACTTTTAACAACACTTTACACATAAATATACAAATATATATTAAGCACTTTTAATACTACTTTACACATAAAGCAATTTAACATTTGCTCATTAAAAACTAATTACAGTTAGGTGTGGTAGCTCACATCTGTAATCACAGCACTTTGGGAGGCCAAGGTGGTGAATCATCTGAGGTCAGGAGTTCGAGACCAGCCTGGCCAACGTGGTAAAACCCCGTCTCTACTAAAAATAAAAAAAATTAGCTGGGTGTGGTACTGCATGCCTGTAATCCCAGCTACTTGTGAGGCTGAGGCAGGAGAATCGCTTGAACCCAGGAGGTAGAGGTTGCAGTGAGCCAAGATGACGCCATTGCACTCCAGCCTTGGTGACAAGAGTGAAACTCCATCTCAAAACAAAAGCAAAAACAAACTAATTACAATACTGGCAAGGCACAGTGGCTTATATCTGTAATTTAGCACTATGGGAGGCTGAGGCAGGAGGATTGTTTGAGCCCAGGAGTTCACGACCAGCCTGGGCAACATAGTGAAATCCTATCTCTACAAAATATAAAAATTTTAAAATTGGCTAAGCCTAGTGATGCATGCCTGTGGTCCCAGCTACTTGGAAGGCTGAGGTAGGAAGATCGCTTGAACCCAGGAGGCACAGACTGCAGCGAGCCAAGATCACGCCACTGCACTCCAGCATAGGCAACAGAGTGAGACTCTGTCTCAAAAAAAAAATAAAAAAAGTGAAAACCACTATAAAGAAAATAAACTGGGTGACAGGACAGAATATAAATCACACCAACAATGATGAAACGTTTTCAGTGTAACTAAAAATTTTTATCCCAACATGGGCCCTAGAAGCTTAACTGTAGCCAGGCGCGGTGGCTCAAGCCTGTAATCCCAGCACTTTGGGAGGCTGAGGCGGGTGGATCACAAGGTCAAGAGATCGAGACCATCCTGGTCAACATGGTGAAACCCCGTCTCTACTAAAAATACAAAAAATTAGCTGGGCATGGTGGCGCACGCCTGTAATCCCAGCTACTCAGGAGGCTGAGGCAGGAGAATTGCCTGAACCCAGGAGGCGGAGGTTGCGATGAGCCGAGATCGCACCATTGCACTCCAGCCTGGGTAACAAGAGTGAAACTCCGTCTCAAAAAAAAAAAAAAAGAAGCTTAACTATAAGTGGAAATGATTTCCTCTGCTAAATGGCTTTAGATGAGCCAGCTTCTAGAAATGTAAGTATGCTTGGATCACAGAAAAAATATTTCCAGCCATATTAAACATGTAGGTACTCAGTGACTTTACATGCCAAATTAAAGGATTCTTAACTATTCTCAAATCAATCTTGGTTGTTTTTTTCCCCATGATGTAACTATTAATTTTTGAAAATCAAAATTATCTCATGAACTTATATAAAACACTTTTCAGAGTATTTCCCTTGATTTATGGGAGAATTTTCTAGCTCACAGTTGCGGAAAGTTTTTCACGGCAGTTTTGAGAGAACTGTTTTGTTTTTAAATTAACTTTAATGTTCCCTTACTAATGGGAAATAGTGATTTCAATTCAGGCTAGACTTTTCAAAATTATACACTGAAAAATTATAGCTGTATATATTTATGGGGCAGAAAGTGATATGATTTTTTTAATGCAGTGTGAAATGATTAAATAAAATGAATCAAACTATCCATCACCACAAATATTTGACCTTTTATGTGATGAAAACATTTGAGATTTACTCTCTTCATGATATTGAAATGTACAGTAGTCAAATATTAGCTATGTTTACCAGTACAAGTTGGTTTGAGCCCTAAGGGCGACAAAGTAAAGGGTAAGTCCTTAAAGAATAATATTAACATAGTGCTCAAACATAGTTCTGTTTGAGTTAGTAATCATTCATAGAAGGAACACATTTTTGTAAACTACTAGGTATATTCTACAAATACATTTTGTTTAGACAAAGGGTAATTCCATGTCTCCTAGTTTTCATTATCAACTCACACAACCTAATCTACAAAGTTTGCAGATGTTAAAGGCTGCTGTCCCCTCAATTTTTCTTAATAAACTGAAACCATCTTGGAGAAAGGATGAACTTAAATGGCTTAAATTCAGTGTTGACAAGACTCTCTCCAGGATCCCCCCCTTTATACCCATCCCCCAACCTAGAGGTACACCTCTCCAGATTCACCTGTTACTCTATTCCTCATACCCTATGTTCAGCCAGGCCAGACAGCTTTCAGTTCCTGAAATGTTGCTCTCTCAACTCCAGGTCTTATGTAAGCCATTCTCTGTCCCCCTCACTTGCCCATTTTATCCTTCAGGTCTCCCTCAGCTTAGGTATCACCTCCCCAGAGGAGACTTCCCAGGCCATACTCTCCCCTGACAACCTGTATTGCCTTTTGTATAACACTCATCAAACCAGTAATTAATGTTGTCTTCACAAAACACTGGAAGCTCCAGAGGGCAGGAACCATGTATACCTTATTCACAGCTGCATCCGTATCATCTAGTATAGCACCTGCAAATACTTGCTAAACTGCACTAAAGCTTTTATCATTAGATTCATGTTAAATATTTGCAATGTTCAATTAATTGGCCAGGAAATAATTCAAGTGTTCTGAGGTAAATACCTGACTTTTAATCTTTCTTCCCTCCTCCATGTCCATACCCATTCTTTTACTTCCTTCAAAAGTTAACAACTAGTTTCCTTTTGGAAAAAATTTCAGATTCATCATTAAGGCTGTTTCAATAATATTGGGATTTTATTCCGTTCCATAATGTTGCTTTCAAATTATAATTATATATTATAATTCTGTTTAATTATGATATGGTCATTATAATATTAATAACAGATCATCCATTCAACAAGTATTTGTTATGAACCTCCTATGCATTAGATATAATATTACATAATATATGAAGTTATTAACATCTACAGTACTTGCTAATCAGTGCATCATACCTCTTTACTTTCCATGCCTTTTAAAAACATACAATACATACTTTATTTCAGTGATGAAAGACCACAGCAGTGGTCTTTTCTTTAAAAGAAAAATGGCAGAAAAATTAATTTTAGAAGAAAAATCGCAGAAAAATCTAAGAAATAAGAATAGATAGGAATAATTCTAAAAACACTGGCTTAGAGAAGTAGGTATAAATACATTCTTAATAACAAGAATTAAAACAAATTTTTTGTCAGTTTCTTAAATTGCAAGCAGTCTCCTCACCTTAGAGGTTGTGTTATCCCAAATGGCTAGACCAAAATAGTCTTCTTCCAAAAGATTGAGATGCTCACATACTCGTTTAAGCAAATCTTGTCCCTTAGCGTGTTTCTGCAAAGATACATGTGTGTCTCAGTTGAGTTGAGGTTTCTTTTTCTTCTTCTTTTTGTTTTTTAAATTCCCAAAAGAGATAGGGTTTCACTCTGTTGCCCAGGCTGGAGTGCAGTGGCCTGATCATAGCCCACTGCAGCCTCAATCCCCTGGGCTCAAGTGATCTTCCCACCTTGGCCTCCAGAGTAGCTAGGACTACAGATGTGCACCACCATAGCTAATTTTCAAAATTTTTTGTAGACAGAGTCACATTATGTCGCCTAGGCTGGTCTTGAACTCCCAGGCTCAAGTGATCCCCCCCGCCCCCCGCCTCAGCCTCCCAATGAGCTGGGATTACAGGTGTGAGCCAGTGCACCTGGCCTGAAGTTTCTTCTTATTTCTATATCCATCATGAAATAAAACAAACTGTCACTTTCCAATTTCTTCTTTTATTTTTGGTTACCAACAAACTTACAGGTGGCTTCATATTTTAAGCAGAAAATATGATTTACAAAATTCCTTTATTCAATTTGTTAGTTATAATACACTTATACTAGCTTGGAAACTGTGTTATAATTCAAAACAAAATTCTACCTTCCTTCCATCTCATCTTCCCCACCTCCATCCTACACATCACATTCTTTATTTTGGGTGCAATATTTCCTGAAGTAAGCTATGGGCAACTGTCAGTCACTGTGACTACCTGAATTACTGAATCAACTGCACAGAGTGACATTTAATTGTGGCTGTGGAAATCATTAGACTCTACCATTTTCAGACCAAATGTCCCAAAGAAAATGAGAATTTGAATTGTTTAAAAATAATCAAATATATGAATGACTTCTGAGAAATATATACAAAAATACTTCAAAAAATTAGAATCATTTTTTGGGCACACATATATAACATGTCCTCCTCTCAAGGAGATGAGTTTTTTAAATGACTATTAGTAATTCACATAATTGTTCATTCATTGTCAGTCTTAACTCATCCATATCAAATCATTTTTTTCTTTCTTTTTCTCCCATGTTTTCACTCTAAATGGCAGATGAAGATTTGAAAATGCTTCATGTATAGGTCCCTAATCTCTTATTCATAATTAAAATCCAGATGGCAGATTTTGATTTGAACTGTAAAGAGACTATTTATAATCTTCATTTATCCACCTTATAATGAATCTTCATATATTTTGCCATAGAAATACTATGTTTGATCATGTGGGTGCTACTACAGACACTGCTGGGTATATTATAAAATATGCAGGATATATACTTATTGCCTTGCTAAAATCCAAAATATTCTGAATTCTAAATCACATCTGTCCCCAAGGGCTTCATATATAAGAGACTTCATATATAAGATATATAACATATTTTAATCTAGGTCTGAATGGGAAGAATGAGTGTAAAATAGCTTTCCCCACCTCTAAATTAGTGCAAGAAGCAGAAAATGCAGACCCTAAGTCTCTAGTTAGGTGTATAGTACCTGTTTCAAAGTATAATTATATCTTTCTTGATTTCACTTTTAAAACTTAGAGAATACCTATTAGTAAATACAGCATAATATTTTAGATGATTTGTGCTTGAACATATTTGCATTTGCACATAAATAATTTGATTAAGAAAAAAGGCTGGGTGCAGTGGCTCATGCCTATAATCTCAGCACTTTGGGAGGCTGAGGCAGGTGGATTGCTTGAGGCTGGGAGTTTGATAGTGACCCGGTCAACATGATGAGACCTTGTCTCTACAAAAATTAAAAAAAATTAGCCAGGTGTTGTGGTATGTGCCTGTAGTCCCAGCTACTTAGGAGGCTGAGGTGGGAGGATCACCTGAGTCCAGGAAGTTGAGAATGCAGTGAGCTATCACTGTGCCACTGCACTTCAACCTGGGCACTTCAACCTGGGCAACAGAGCAAGACCCTGTCTCAAAAACATAAATAAATAAAATAATTTGTTGCACATATATGTGAATTATACGCTTTGTCAATAAAAGCTGTTACCACCAACAATTACAACAATTGCTTATATATCAGTCATATCATAATGAAGAACTACTGTTCTTGTTTGAAAAATATATAATTTTTTAAAATTTCAATTTGCCCTGAAGGAGCAAAAAGAGTAACTGAATAACTCAGATATTATTCTTCAATCCTGATTCAATCATTTATTCTTTCAGAAAATAGTAGAAAATTTTAAGAAATGGCATCTACTGGGCTTAAAGACTCATAATCTTCCCATAACCCTACCTCCAGAAAATGACCATTAAAACTTCCATCCACAGAAATAATCATTAGAAGCCGGGTGCAGTGGCTCATGCCTGTAATCCCAGTAATTTGGGAGGCCAAGGTGGGCAGATCACTTGAGGCCAGGAGTTCAAGATCAGCCTGGCCAAAATGGTGAAACCCTGTCTCTATTAAAAATATAAAAAATTAACCAACTGTGGTGGCACACCGCTGTAATTCCAGATATTTGGGAGGCTGAGACAGAAAGATTGCTTAAACGTGGGATTTAGAGGCTACAGTGAGCCAAAATTGGGCCACTGCACCCAGCCTGGGTGACAGAGTGAGACTCTGTCTTAAAAAAAAAAAAAAGAATAATCATTAGGGTGAGTCTTATCATGGGCAAAATCACGACTTACCCAACTCTAGATGAAACAACCTGTAACAGTTCTGATTGTTGGAAATGAAAATGTACTCACCTCCACAACACATTCATAAACTGTGTCATCCAACAAAGAAACCTTGCAGTGCATGTTCCTGTGTTTTCTGACTGATTTCTGGGAAGCTTTAAATTCTCTTTCTGCTTTTGATTCAGGGCTTTCTTCTTTCACTTCTATTTTGGAGCACTCTTCAAGTCCTTCTCCTTCCTTAGTTTCAAAATCTGGATCTTCTCTGAGTTCTTCCTGAGCAGGCTACATATCCATGACATCACCAAGTCAGTAATAAAGACATTTCACAAAACATACCATATATGCTTTTACCTATAATAATCTTACCAATAAAAGCATGAAATAAAGAAAAACTATTAAAACAGATGTATGTGACATAAATATTAAATAATTATTTTTCTATAAAAATATTATCATCCTCCATATGATGACAGACTTTGCTATTATTAAAATTTCTTAGCCAAATGTGGTGGTTCATGCCTGTAATCCCAGCACTTTGGGAGGCTGAGGCAGTCAGATCACGAGGTCAAGAGATCCAGACTATCTTGCCCAACAAGGTAAAACCCCGTCTCTACTAAAAATACAAAAAAATAGCTGGGTGTGGTGGTGTGGGCAACAGAGCAAGACCTGTAGTCCCAGCTACTCAGGAAGCTGAGGCAGGAGAATCACTTGAACCCAGGAGGTGGAGGTTGCAGTGAGCTGAGATCACACCACTGCACTCCAGCCTGGCGACAGAGTAAGACTCCATCTCAAAACAAAACAAAACAAAACCTTCTCAGGTAGAATCACATCAAGTCAATAAATGAAGGTTTCAGGTAAACCAGAGGACACCAATCTACTGCTCTCAGCATTATATATTCTTCCTGACCACGATATTACATCCTATTATTAAAGTTTAACAAAACATTATTGTCTCTGCCCCATGCTCCTCAATTTTAGCAAGGTAGCCTTACAAACTGCAAAATAAGATGTTATTTGTTTCATATTCTAAATTTTAAATTAATTTTAATTCTAAGAGAAATGCTTAGGACCAATTTTACATCATTAAGCAAAGATATGTAGTAGGCTAAAAATTTTAACTACCAGTTAACACCTTTCTACTCAATATTAATAATGTTAAATGCAAAGAAGATTCAACGAACAAAGAGTCCTTGGTGCAATCTTAAATCATCTTGAAATAACACTGATGGGTAGGACAACATTTCTGGCATACATTTTTACTTTTACTTTCAACGCAACAAAACCACTGACAAATTTTTAACTAAATCCCACTAATTCTTTTCTTTTAAAAGAATATGTTACTTCTTTGTGTAACAGTTGGAAAAAAATTTTTTTAAAAGAATATATGGTTGACAATTAGGAAAAAAGATTAAATTATTTGACGCCTGCATTAAATACTGGAAGTAATCTAAAAGACTCCTTCCCATCTCTCACAGACCCTTTCACTGCAACCTCAAGGAAGCCCTTCACAGGGCTATCCTATCTATGCCCACTCTACTGTCTTTCATATCAGTACTCTGGTGTCTTCATAACTTATTACAATAAATAATTATTTTTATTTACTACTTTTTTGTTTCCTAGATTAAAGTCCTCAAGGGTAGAAATCACGTCTGTTTTATAATAATAATATTACCAAACATTTAAACAACAATTACAATGGACCAGTTACTATTCTAAGAAAATTATTTATATGAACTCAATCCTTGTAACTATCCTGTGAGGCAGGTACTGTTACTATATACCCACTTGGCAGAGGGAAGATAATAGCACCTGCCCCACAGGGTTGTAAAACTGATGCCAGAGAAAGTAACTTGTCTAGGATCATACAATTAATAAGTCACATACCAGTCTGACTTCAGAATCCATAATTTGTTTTTGTTTTTGGTGTTTTTTTTTTGAGACAGAGTCTCACTCTGTCACCCAGGCTGGAGTGCAGTGACATAATCATGGCTCAAAGCAGCCTCAATCTCTCAGACTCAAGTGATCCTCCCACCTCAGCATCCCAGGTAGCTGGGACTACAGGCGAGCCACCACGCCTAGCTAGTTTTTTTATTTTTTGTAGAGATGGTGTTTCTCCATGTTGCCCAGGTTGGTCTCAAACTCCTGGACTCTAATGATCCTCCCCACTCAGTCTCCCAGGGTGCTGGACTTACAGGCATGAGCCACCATGCTTGGCCCCAAAATCCATGATTTTAAACCTCTTTACCATATTGGTAAAAATCCATGATTTTAAACCTCTTTACCTTATTGGTTTTTATTTACCAAGGTACATTCTGCCTAAGGCCTAGCACAAATGGTAGATTTTCAATAAATATTTGTTGAATGAATAAATAAACATTAAAAATTTATATAGGCTTCCAAAAAAAAAAATCCAACCTACTCTAGATGAAGACTGATACAATCCTCTATTTATATATATTATATACTTAAATATAAATATATATACATTTATATAGAAGGCTCTGATCTACAAGGTTTTGACTATAAATATTAGTTTCCAAAAGGCCTAAAATAGTTCATTACTTTAAATAATATCTCCTTGAAATTTTATTAACAATATCGTTTCTTTTTCTCCACATGAAGACAAACACCCATGGACAATTTATTCAATTCTGAATTAAATCTTAATGAATGAGATTTCAGTTAAATCTAAAATTAACTTCGTCCATCATCTATGTCAGCTTGAGTACAAATCTATGACCTTTAGACAATACAGACAAGTTCTAATTCAAATGTTAACTAAAACAAGATATGGATTTTCCCCTATATAAAGCTGAAGGAGAAAAAAGCACTTAAAAACCCCTTGAGGACAGGCACAGTGGCTCACGCCTGCAATCCCAGCACTTGGAAAGGCTGAGGCAGGAGAATTGCTTGAGTGCAGAGTTCGAGACCAGCCTGGGCAACAAAGCAAGACTGTCTCTGCAAAAAATTTTAAAAATTAGCTGGGCATGGTGGCGTGCACCTGTAGTCCCAACTACTCAGGAGGCTGAGATGAGAGAATAGTTTGAGCCCAGGAGGCTGAGGTTGTAGTGAGCCATGATTGCGCCACTGTATTCTAGGCTGGGTGACAGAGAGAGATCCTGTCAAAAAAGAAACAAAGAAGAAAATAAATAAATAAGGGGAGGGAGGGAGGAAAGGAGAAAGGGAGGAAGGAAAAGAGAAAAGGAAGGAGGAAGGGAAGGAGGGAATTTTAAAAACTCTTGAAAGTACCAGGCTTCCTGAAAGATAATTTAATTCTTTTGGTATTCCTAAAATAAAATGGTATTAAGATAAGTATGGTTTCTTTGCCTTTATTAGCTAACATTATTTACTAGCTAACATTCATTGAGTACTTATTAAATGCCAGGCAATGTTTTAAGAGCTTCACTCATTTCTCTCTTTTAATCCTTTCAGTCCCAAAGGAGGTGAATATTATTATCCCCATTGTACAGAGAAGGAAACTGATAGTGAAAAGTGTGACTTCTCTGATTTAAACCCTCTAAATCTTGCTTTCAACCTTGTTTCACTAATCGCAAGTGTGTAATTATAATTTTATCCTAAATTTTACCCTCTGCACTTTGAATATACAAGTAATAGTTCTAGAAATACATGTAATATTCTAATAAGACTCTAAAAAAACTATGGAGTCCAAATCTCAAACCTATAATAGAAACATGTAGGACTTACACTTTCTATCCTCCCAACACTGTCAGAGTTCTAAAAGGACTTATACCTTTAACAACACAGATAATGTTCACATGCTTCAGAAATAAGAAGACTTTGAAAATAATTCTTAATTTGTAATAGTAAGGCTGAAAATGAATGAGATGCTAAGAAAACTGAGTTACAGTACTAATGTTTTCCCATTTTTTTGGACAAATAAACAGACTCACAACTCGTGTTTAGCTTAACAATGCTATGCACAATTAAGGCCCCAGACTAATATACATTACACAGGTAATTGAAAGAACTAGACTTCCTCATTTATATCTACACTCTGTGGTAATATGATCTAATAAAGACGATGACCGATATAAGGCAGACATGACTCAAATCTATCACATCCTCCAGATGGCTTGAATTTATCACACAGCTTTTAGGAAGATTTATGTAAAAGAACCCTATCTGCTGATAACTATCCTGTTCCTATTAATTCCACAAAAATGAACTCTAAACCACCTCATTTTCTTTTCCTCTCTCATGGAAAATCTTCAATTTGTTCCATTATTATAATAAGATGATATGTGGGGTGAACACACTTATTTGATACTTTTTTTCCTTTTCTGTTCTTTGATCTATAAAGAGTAAACAGTTAGCCGGGCGCGGTGGCTCAAGCCTGTAATCCCAGCACTTTGGGAGGCCGAGGCGGGTGGATCACGAGGTCAAGAGATCGAGACCATCCTGGTCAACATGGTGAAACCCCGTCTCTACTAAAAATACAAAAAATTAGCTGGGCTTGGTGGCGCATGCCTGTAATCCCAGCTACTCAGGAGGCTGAGGCAGGAGAATTGCCTGAACCCAGGAGGCGGAGGTTGCGGTGAGCCGAGATCGTGCCATTGCACTCCAGCCTGGGTAACAAGAGGGAAACTCCGTCTCAAAAAAAAAAAAAAAAAAAGAGTAAACAGGCATGGTGGTGTACACCTGTAATGCCAGCTGCTCAGGAGGCTGAGGCAGGAGGATCACTGGAGCCCAAGAATTTGAGATTGGCCTGGGCAAAATAGCAAGACCCTTTACATAAACATATAAAATGTAGCTTTTTAAAAAGTAAGTTTCCAATTACTACATTAATTTCTTTAGAGTAGAAACTATAGGCAGGGTATGGTGGCTCATGCCTGTAATCCCAGCACTTTGGGAGGCTGAGATGGACAGATCACCTGAGGTCAGGAGTTTGTGACCAGCATGGCCAACATGACAAAACCCTATCTCCACTAAAAACACAAAATTTAGCTGGGCATTAGCGGCCAGCGCCTGTAATTTCAGCTACTCAGGTGGCCGAGGCAGGAGAATAGCTTGAACCCAGGAGGTGGAGGTTACAGTGAACTGTGACCACGCCACTGCACTCCAGCCTAGGTAAAAGAGCAAGACTCAAAAAAAAAAAAAAAAAAGAGTAGAAACCATAAAGCTTCATGTTACTTATCACTCTCAATACCTAAGTCGACTAGTAAGAAATAAAACCAAATACTCTTAAATGAAAAATAAAGTGTATAACCTGCCTTCCTTATGCCCACCTCCCATATCCACATATCTTTACCTGTGTTTCAGCACTGCTTAATGAATGAAGATCCAAAGATGGATCTGTTTTGAGTTCAGGTTCAGGAGCTGCAATTGGGGCTTTTAAAATGATCTCTTCATCAAGACTGGTTCCAAATTCTATGTCTTTCTGACCTCCTTCACCTTTTTCTTTATCTGACTCTACTTCTTTGCCTTCTTCCTCATACACCTGAGATTTGGGCCTTTTAAGAAACGAGGAGAACAGTCGTGAAAGGCCTCTGCTTTCTGATGTCCGCTCCTTGTTCTTGGTCAAGTCTTCATGTGTAGGAGTGTCTCCATTAGAAGCTTTCAGCTTCTGTTCACACTGATTATCTCCTTCAGCTGCTGTTTGAGAAGATTCCTCCTGCTGAGGTTCTTGTTGGCCTGAGTTTATGGCCCCCTCGCCCTCTTCCTTCTGTTGGTGCTGTGAGTTTTCAGCCTCAGCCACTAAACTCTTCTCTGTTGTCATGATGTTGCTATTAAAAAGAAGACAGAAAAGGGAGGCTCTTATAAGCAAAACACATTACTGTTGGCAAAACCCTAAACCCTAAAAAATTAATATACTTAAGTATTCAATTGCCAACAAACAGAATTCCAACCCATTAAACATGAGGTTTTCCATTAAAGTACAAAAATATCTACACATCCTGAATAAAATATTAATGTCTTGAGTCACTAAAGATAATGCATATAGAGAGAGTAGTTTAAAACAGTACCCACTGAGGCCACCTTAGTGAAATGCATCACATATTAAATCCAATGCTCAGAACTGTATATAGTAAATACAGTTTTATCCTTCCTTTAAAAAGGATTGTGTTTAGTGTCCTTCGAGGGTATCAATCTGAAGGTATAGGATTTGCAGGAATTATTCCCTGCAAAATTTTTTACACCTCAAGAGACGATGAAATTTAAAAGTTCCCCAAGTCTTTATTGTTCTTTTTCTTTACATTTCTTAGAATACAGAGACTTCTCTATTAAATTGCAAAAGTAAAATTCTGAGTTTCTTGTAAGACCAGACAACAGCAATGACAAGTATACAGCTGAAATAATTGCAAAAAATTTTCTTAGGTTTTCATGTTATAATTCCAAATTACATCCTCTCTCAGAGGTATCCCATTTTAAGCTTTTCAGTCTCTTTTTTCCTCCTGATAAATATGATTTTAAAAGCTCAGCATTTTTTTTTTTTTTTTTTGAGACAGAGTTTCACTCTTGTTACCCAGGCTGGAGTGCAATGGCGCGATCTCGGCTCACCGCAACCTCCGCCTCCTGGGTTCAGGCAATTCTCCTGCCTCAGCCTCCTGAGTAGCTGGGATTACAGGCACGCATCACCATGCCCAGCTAATTTTTTGTATTTTTAGTAGAGACAGGGTTTCACTATGTTGACCAGGATGGTCTCGATCTCTTGACCTCGTGATCCACCCGCCTCGGCCTCCCAAAGTGCTGGGATTACAGGCTTGAGCCACCGCGCCCGGCCAAAAGCTCAGCATTTTTAAGAGTAAGAAGTGAAACTAACAATAGAGAAGTGAGATAGAGAAGAAAAACTTAGGAAGTGTTGATTCACTCATAGGGAAGGAAAAGAAAGCAGGCAGTTGACCTTACATATTTCAAACTTCTTGGCCTCTAGCCTCTTGATCTCAAAACCCCAGTATTATCAGTCCAGCCTCACAATAACAGCCAACGAGCATTGTCACACCTATTTTACTAAAGAATAACCAGCCGGGCGCAGTGGCTCATGCCTGTAATCACAGCACTTTGGGACGCCGAGACGGGTGGATCACGAGGTCAAGAGATGGAGACCATCCTGGTCAACATGGCGAAACCCCATCTCTACTAAAAATACAGAAAATTAGCTGGGCATGGTGGTGCATGCCTATAATCTCAGCTACTCAGGAGGCTGAGGCAGGAGAATTGCCTGAACCCAGGAGGTGGAGGTTGCGGTGAGCCAAGATCACGCCATTGCACTCCAGCCTGGGTAACAAGAGCGAAACTCCGTCTCAAAAAAAATAAAAGAATAACCAACACACGTGGGGACTTTGAAAGCACTGGGCAATGAAGTTGACTATTGATGATCTTATGCTTTGATTCATTGCCATAATTAAAAGTACTTCCTCCCCATCACTGACAAAGCAACATTTACACTGTCTTCTCATATTCTCTGTATTAAGTAAATAAAGTAATTAAAAAAAAATTAAGGCTAGTGAAGTGAAGCAGTGGGAGTCGAGAAGAAACAAAGAAATCTGTAACTGGTTGTGATCAATTAGTTGTAAGCACCACTGCACTGGACCAGCCTAAGTGAAGTAACTTTATCTGGATGTTAACAATCTGAATGAATGAACAAAGTATATTTAGCTCATTCCCTCCTCAGGCCCTTCACACATGCTGTTCTATTTACAATGCTCTTCTCATGGTTATTTGAAGGCTAGTCTCCTTCATATCATTACTGTCTTATGTCTTACCAGGCCTCCCCACATAACCTAGCTAAAAGTAGTGGCCTTCATGCCCCCAGAAACCCTCACGGGACTACTGCACTTATTATCTGCAATTATTTTGTTAACATATTTGTTTACCAGTTTATTGTCTTTCTTCCCTCTCTCCAGCTAAAATATAAGTTCCAAAGGACACAAACCTTGACCCCCTTTTTTTTAAATCACTGTATACCCAATGCCTAGAATAGTATCTGACAATTAAGTATTAATTAAAGTTTTTGGGGGCTGGGCATGGTGGCTCACGCCTGTAATCCCAGAACTTTGGGAGACTGAGGCAGGAGGATCACTTGAGCTCAGGAGTTCAAGACTAGATTGGGCAACATAGCAAGACATCATATTCATAAAAAAAATTTTAAATTAGCCAGGCATGGGTGGCATGTGCCTGTAGTTCCAGTTACTTGGGAGGCTGAGGCAGGAGAATCACTTCAATCCAGGAGGCTGATGCTACAGTGAGCCATGATCATGCCACTCCATGCCAACGTAGGTGACAGAACAAGAACTTGTCTCAAAAAAAAACCAAAAACCACTAAGTTTTTAAAAAATAAATTGATTTCACTGAATACATCTGACAAATATAAACTGCAAAGGCATTCTCTAAATTTACTCAAGTAAATTTACTTCAAATGCATGATACTAATTGATTCATTCAACAAATTCTTATCAGGCACCTAGCACAGGACTGATGCTAGGTGCTAGACACACAATAGTAAAGAAAACAGCCAAGGTCTATGTCATCATGGAGTTTACATTCTTGTTTCAACTTTAGCGAGTAAAATGAAAGAAAAATTCAAAAAAATTTTTATTTAAAGTATGAGCTAAACCTAGAATAATTGTATACACATGGAACAAAGCAGTGAAAAGGGAAAGAAGCAAACGTATATTGGGTACTATTTCTGTGCTGGGCCCCATGTCGGGCATTATCTATGTTATCTCAATTAAGCCTTTCAACAATCCTATAAGGAAAGAGGAATCAGTAATCTTATAGCTGAGGAAGTTGAAACTCAGAGAATAACTTCCCTCTGGGTCATGCTGCTAGTAGGTGGCAAACTACTCTTGATAAAGACAGCGGGGCAGAGAAATTCCAGGCAGAAAAGGACGTGTCTCTGACGAAACCCCACCCTCAAGCAGAAAAGCCTGAAACTGCAGCCCAAAGTGAGAACTTATATCCCCGTTTTCCTGCTGGACTGTTGCCTTTTCCTAAACCATTCATGGCCCCATTTTACCCCATCTTGTGCCTATAAAAACCCCAGACTCAGCAGGCAGAGAGGAGAAGCAGCTGGACATCAGGGACTATGGCTGGATGTCAAAGAGAAGCAGCTTGACTTTGGAGGTCTAGCTTGATGGTGTAACTTCGGAGAAGAATCTGGCTGGAGATGGCTTTACTTCAGGGAAAGATTATCTAACCACTCCCAGTCCCTTTTCAGCTCCCCGCTGAAAGCCACTTTCACTGGCAATAAAATCCCTCGTATTTACCATCCTTCAATTCATTCCTGTGACCTCATTTTTCCTGGACGCTGGACAAGAGCATGGGAGCCACGTGTGCAGATACAACAGGCTGTCACACTGTTGTCAGCTCAGTGGGCCCTTTGCCTTTTCAAGAGGGCAGCCCCTCACTCGAAATGGCAAAGGGCACACTGAGCTGCTAACACTTAAGCTGTCCGCAGATGTAAAAGCTAAAAGAGCACTGTAACACACCCTCTGGGGCTTCAAGGGATGCAGATACCACCTCCTGGATATTGCTGCGGGGCCGGCACAGCCTTGGGTCCTGCCAGCACCAAAGCAGCTAGCTGGTTCCAGCCCTTGTGCACTCCAGTTCCCACCTCATTCACCTGCACAGTCCCTCCCACGAGGAGTTGAGAGTGATGGCTGAGTAAACAAGGTACGCCTGTTAGAATTCCCATGAAGAGGTCTTTACTATAAGGGGTCTGATTCAATAGGTCTGGAATGGGGTCTACAATTCTATTAAGATGTTGCCAATGCTGCTGGCCCACTCTGCACATTTTGAGTAGGAAGCACAGAAAACCACTATTACAAAGACTTTGGGAATGTACCTCAAAATGCCTAAGAAATAAAAGATTGTAAAAAGCTGCACTTAGAAGAATATGAACAGTGGGAAATACTTGACACAATAAATGCTCAACAAATGCTTGTTAATTAATGAAAGAAGCCAGTGATGTAACATATAAAATGTGAAAAGTGGCAGGGCGCGGTGGCTCACACCCACCATCTCAGCACTTTGGGAGGCTGAGGTAGGCTGAGGAGGCTGAGGCTGAGGTCAGGAGTTTGAAACCAGACCAGCCTGGCCAATACAGCAAAACGCTGTCTCTACTAAAAATACAAAAATTAGCTGGGTACGGTGGTGGGCGCCTGTAATCCCAGCTACTCAGGAGGCTGAGGCAGAAGAATTGCTTGAACCCAGGAGGTGGAGGTTGCAGTGAGCCAAGATCACGCCATTGCACTCTAGCCTAGACAGAGAGAGCTTCCGTCTCAAAAAAAAAAAAAAAAAAAAAAAAAAAAAGTCAACCATTAACATTTTTAAGAACTCTTTTTGGCGCTTAATCTGACCTTGTAATCTTTAACCACAGAGCTATAGCAATTCCAAGTTTCCTACCCAGCTGTGATAAGTACCCAGATTCAGTGTTCTGGGCATCTCCATTGATATGATCTCTTTGCCACATGTAGGAAGGAATAATTAAGACAGGAGCCAATCAGAATCCCAAAAGACACAATCCTCAATAGCATAATCCTCAGTGTTGAATCCCGAAACATCAAAATCCCAAAAATATAATTCTGGAAAAAAGAATTTTTTTTTTTTGAGATGGAGTCTTGCTCTGTTGCCCAGGCTGGAGTACAATGGTGAAATCTCAGCTCACTTCAACATCCGCCTCCTGGGTTTGAGCAATTCTCCTGCCTTAGCCTCTCGAGTAGCTGGGATTACAGGCATCCACCACCACAGGCATCCGCCACCACGCATGGCTAGTTTTCGTATT